CTACCTTAGAACCTCGGATTGCGAGGTTCTTAAAGTGATGGTGTTGGTCTTTTCGGTTGTTTAGGGTATAATTTATAAGTTAATTTTTTTTATTTATTACAAAAAATGTATATAAAAATAAAAAAGTAATGTGACTTAAATAACTCAATAGATTGACTTTTTTAGATGTTACCAAAAGTGATCTTACGATCACAATATTTGCGTGTTTGGCAACTTATTTTAGGAAACATAATGGTGTTAATTTTTTTTTTATTTTATAATTTGATATTTGGGTCAACTCGTGTGAATCTCGACTAATCTTAAAACCCTGGAGTTAACGGGACCAAACATCTGGTAACGGATTGAGGTGACTTGAATTCGAAACCTCAAATTTTATCTTTAAGTTTTTATCACTTAATTATCACTTGGTCAACCCTTTAAGATTTAGACCTTAGAGTTCAGTCCAGTAGTCTTATAGTCACACTTTAGAATGTGGTGAGGAAAAAGTGAGGGGATCAAATTGATGGAGTAACGACGACCGCTTTAGTTGTAATATAACTTACTAATAAACTAATATCTTATAATATTCCCCCTCCCTCTCAAAAAAAAAAAAAAAAAACTTGAGATTTGTGGTATTAATTGTTAAGGGCCAAAAAATCGGTACACGTTTAGAATTTATACACCTTCATTTATTAATATTCACCTAAAAAGTCACATTTTTTTGAACTTTTTTTTTAGTAATTTTTTAAAAATTTATGTCAAAAAAATTAATTTTCAAGTCCGTATAGTATAAAAGAATCTGAAAAGTAAAAAATTAAAAAATAAAGTGAAAACAAATAACAATAAAAAAAAAGTCAATTAATTTTTACTTTTTTTTTTATAACTTTAGAGATTTTTATTTATTTATTTTTGCTTTTCTAGCTGGTCTTGTTGGTATACAATGTCATTCCATGCTACTACTTAAAAAATAAGCTCACGGTTCGTGATTTCAAATATCATAAAAAAAACATATGTGAAATCGTTTCTATTAACAATTGGTTTTAGAAGATGATAGAACTCAGTCCAACAAGTGCAATGAGAGCCAAGTTAGATCCTCAGTGATCATTTTTACTTTTCTTAAATTTAATTATGATTTTATTCAATATTAAATTAGTAGAGAAAGTTTCTAGCCCAAAATTAGTGAGGATTTTGATTTGCATTTCCTTTTTCAAAATTTTCTATCAGTATTTTTGTTTTTACAATTGACCAATGTTGGTTGTCGTTTTCATTTTTTCTATTCTTCATGTTTATATATATATAATAAAAAAATGAAATTTTTTGATACACCAATAATTTTTATATTATTTCACTTTTTGTAAGCAAATATATTTTTTTTAAATTTAAAAATTAAAACTGTTTTTAAAATTTATTGAATTTTTTGTTAAAGATGAGTATGCCAAACAAAGTTCCCTCTTTTTTCTTTTTTCTTTTTTTTATTTTCAATTAAAAAAATAAAATCAAAATATACCAAACACGCCCTAAGGGGCTCATAAATTCATTCCTAATCTTGTGTAACACCACAAGATATGATCCTTTTTTTTTTCTGTTTTTTTTTTAGATAGGACACAAGATATGATCCTTGACACGAGGAATTTTGACCCTTTTTTTTAACAAACATGCAATTTTCAAATGAAATTTTAAAATTCAAATAATTTTAATCTTGTTTCTTAAACTTATTTTGTTTTATGAAATGATAAATTTTAAGCAATATAAGTTTAAAATAATTTATATTTAAGAAATTATTTTGTAATAACTTGAATTTCTTTTAGAAAAAAATAAAAAAAACTAAAAAACTAAAATACTAAAGAGTCTTTGAAGCAAGCATCCTACCCTTATAGGAGGTGCCCAATAAAAAAGTAAAAAGTTTTGCTAAATTGTGTAGGTATAAGAGAAAGGCGGTTTTTTTTTTTTAAGGTTCCTGGTATTATGATTCTATAGCATAAAGGACACTCAATATTTTTATAATGTTTAAGGTCCCTCAACATCAACCCAGAGAAAATTCGATCAAGTGAAATTCTTTGGTCCAAACCCAAAGAAAATTCAATTTAATCCAGAGAAATTTTCTAGTCCAAACCAGAGAAAATTCAATTTAGTGAAATTCTTTAGTCCAAAACCAGAGAAAATTCAATTTAATCCAGAGAAATTCTCTGGTCCAAACCAGAGAAAATTCAATTCAAAGAAATTCACTCTGGTCGAATTTTCTCTGCGTTGGTCCAGAGAAATTCTCTAGTTTGGTCCATAGGAGAAATTTGAACAACCAAAGATATATACCTAGTGTCAGTGGCGTCCGCCATTTCCATTTTCATCTTCTTACTGTTGATACAATTATTAGAGTCTTGAATTTGAAACTGTGATTTCAAAACTTTCACTTTGTTTTTGAGCTATGACTTGTTATGATACTAATTGTCAGTGCCTGCCTGCAAACCATTTCAAGAACACCACAAGAAGTGGAAATACAAACCAGAGTCACAATTCCATGGATCTGAGCTTCTTTAGCTCTCTCACAATTATAAAACTGAAGTTGATGACCACCAGTTAACCAAACCAGAGACCCAGAACTAAAAGCCTTCTCGAGATCTCCATCTCCGACGTCTCTGATCATCTCCAACGATCTCTTCTGCAGCAATGGTGACCAGAAGTCTAATTCCGTCGCCGGAGATAGACCAAGGTTCCGAGCTCCTTCGTTCCAGTCGAAGAATGCGCCAGGGCCTTCGTGATTGACGGCGGATTTTAGGGAAAGGAGAGACAGGCCGTCGGAGGAAAGAGAGTGTATGATGTTGAGATTTTGGATGTAAATGAAAAAACATAATAGGAGCAGAGAGAGTTGAGACATTTGGAGAAAACAGAGCTGAACTGAGCTGAGCTGATATATGTTTAGAGAGACAAAGAGTCAAATTTCTCTAATATATGTTTAGGAATCTTAGACATCAAAAAATAATTTTGTAGATCTCTTCCATTACGAAAAGTGAGAGAGGGACCCTAGACTAATTTTCCCTAAGAGAAAGACAAAAAATAAAATAAAATATACTAATTGGTAACCCATTTTCTCAATTTTAAAAATATTTCATGAATTTTATAAAAGTTTTAATTTATATATAAAAAAAATTATATCCTTGTTTTACAATTCCTAAATAAGCAACTTTTTGATATTATTTGGTTTGGCTAAAAAAGTTATTTTTCCATAAAAAAGCAAACATGCCAATAAATTTGTTAAAAAACGATTTTACCTTCTATTTTTTAAAAAAAATCATCTTTAAAACTCCACAACATTGTAAATGTAATATGATAATTAATTAGTAGAAAACAAATTCTTTTATAAAATTTACAAAACTTCTTTTATAATAAAAAAATTAATAATTATTAAATACATTAATAATTACTAAATACATTAATTTTTGGACAAATTACAAACACACCCCTGAAATTTATTTAAATTATGAATTATTCCATGTAGTTTTAAAAATTACATTATGCCCCTTAAGGTTTATAATTTCATAACAAATAAGTCTTTTTATTAATAAATCATCGAGTTAATTAACAGTTTTTAATGATATTAAAATTTTATTTCTATTAATAATTCAGATAATTTTATTATTGTATAGAAGAATAGTTAGAAATTTTATTTTTTCAATTAATTCTTTTAAAAAAAATTCTAATAAAAAGATATTTATAATTTTTTAATTTATAAAAAATTATTCATATTTTGAACAAATCTAAAAAAAATGAATTTGTAATTTATTCTTAATTTTTTACTAAAGAAACAACTGTCAAATGCCACATCAATTCCAATAGTAGTGTCCATTTACCAAAAGTAAATGGTGATGTGAAAATTTTCCAACCACATGGGAAAAAATTATCGTCTCTCATGTCATCAATCATTCTCAAAAACCATCCTTCTTCTTCTTTTGTTACCTCTTCGTATCTCGAGCCGGGGTATTAGAGTTTCAATTTATTTTTTTATTTTTTTGGGTTTAAAATTACGTCAAATATTTTATTTTTCAAATTGGACTTGTATAATTAAATTTAAAAGGTAAAAAAAATTAAAATTTAATTTTTTAACTAAAAACAAAAATGATTTTAAAAACTGAAATTACTTTAATCTGTGTCTAAAATAATTCCAACTTAACCCAAATTACATGCCAGACGAGTACTAAATATGCCAAAACTAAAATAGATGGATAATGTAAAAAATGATAACATTATTTTTTCATTATATAAAGGTTAGTTTGGGGTGTCCTAAAAAAATGTATTTTTTGTCTTTTTACAAAAAGGTGTGCAGAAAAGTAGAGATGTGATGTGATAAAAAAAAGATAAAAAGATGGATTATATAGTAGATGCCAAACCAAGCCTAAGTAACAAATTTCTAATGAAAATATAACCAAATATTATAAGAATTAGAACATTAAAAAAATCTAGTATAATTATACTCCCTTGGTCTCATTTTTTTGATCCACTTTTCCATTTTAGTCTATCTTAAAATATTTGTTCACTTTCTATTTTGAGATATTAAATTTTGTTAGATTTTCAAAATTACCCCTTATAAATCTTTATAGACATATTTTAAAATTCAAATAGAAAGGTAATAGTGAGAAAAATATTTCAAAATTTAAATTAAAATATAATGATTACATGTCACCTTAATAACTTAGATTTCCTATAATGGATAAATAAATTGAGATGGCAAGAGTATCAAATTTGTGAAACTTAAATCTTAAAAAAAAGTTAGTATAATTTACCTTTTCTTTGTTCTTTTCTATTTTTTTTTTTAAATTTTCCAAATTTGTCCAATCAACTAAAATTAAAAGTATAATATTTTAAAATAAATTATTTAAAAAAATATTATAAAATAAACTAACAAAAAAATATTTAAAAAAAAAACCTCAAACCGATCGGGCTCACACTTCACGCTCCGCACACACACGTGACATACCATCTCCGCACTCTTCACTCTCAACATTTGTACAACTCCATAGTCCCACACAGCGGCGCACACTCTCTGAGTCACACGCTTTTTTCTTCTCTCTCCGAAATCTGTATACTCGAACCAGTATTGTTCTCCACTGTCAAGTCTCTCTCCTAGAAAACTACCTTTTCTCATTAGCCAAACACCAACAACCTCTCTCTCTCTCTCTCTCCCTCTGATAAACTAAAGATTTTTTGGATTTCAGTTCATAAAAGTGACTACCTCGCTTCGATCATCTGAGAGAAAATTCGTCTATGAAGAGAGTTCACTCACATTCCTCTTCTTCTTCTCCTCTATAGAGAGAACGATTTGTTTTCTGTAAAAAAATCTCAAGACTTTAAAAATGGAGAGAAAACAGGGATTCTTTTCTGCTTTAAAGGAAGAAGTAGTGCGAGGCTTATCGCCGGCGAGGTCGCGAGCCAAGAGTCCGGCGCGAACTGGGTCGCCAATGTCTGGTCTGCTTCGGCGGAGGAAGCACCATCACCACCACGTGGCCAATCCGGAGCCGTTGATCGGGAGATCCGGAAGCTTAAGGCCCGTCATGGAGGGTCCGGATCCGGATGGAGGCGAAATCGGGGATTCGAAGCGCGGGTTAGGGCTAGGGCAGTGGATGAAGGGGCAGCTTTCAAGGACTCCATCAGTGGCTTCGAATGCTTACAAGCGGTCTGATCTGAGACTGTTGCTCGGTGTTTTGGGTGCTCCTCTCTCCCCTGTGCAAGTTAGCACCAATGACCCTTTGCCTCACCTCTGCATCAAGGACACTCCCATTGTATGTATCTCTCTCTCTCTCTCAGACATTGTCTCTTACATGTTTTCGGAGTTCTGTTTTGGGTATAGTCTCTCTCTCTCTCTTTCCCCCTCCCCTAAAATTTGACTGTATGGGTAGTAGACCTCAAGGAAATTATAATGTTATTCAATTCATGAGTTATCTCCATGAAATTTTCTTTTTTCCTCCTTAGATTGCACCGTATGGTTTTGGGTAATTTAGATTAGTTCGTGAAAATGATTAATTTGGGAATTTTTCTTTTAAAAACGGACTGAATCAATCGGCATAAACATTGTTTTTGCCTTTTTTTAACCTCTGCTGTAAAGAAAAAGGGCCAGTGGAATCATTCACTTTTTGTGTTTTAATGAATTGGTTATGATCCTCTGTTTGGTTACTCAGAAAGCTTGGGAAAGGGCAAGTAAATAATGTGTTTCCGTTTTCTTTTTATTTTTTTCTTTGTGAAACATTAAAACCCATCTCTAGCTTAGTTGAGTGTAGTTTTGGGATTTTAGGTGTCCTAAAGCTGGAGTTTTTCCTTCTTTCTTTTGTTACAACTTTTTAGTTCATCAAGCAAATGCAAGGTGTGATTTTTTTTCAGTGGGAACAAAAAATTGAACTGTAGTTTGTATATCAGCTTGCTCTGATTATAGTGCTTTTTCAACCTCTGTTTTCTTAATTCCTTGTCATGAAATTTAGTCTGCTCTGACATGTTACTGCAGGAAAGTTCATCTGCTCAGTACATATTACAGCAATATACTGCTGCATCAGGAGGGCAAAAGTTGCAGAACTCCATTCGGAATGCATATGCCATGGGAAAGGTGAAGATGTTGGCTTCTGAGTTTGAAACTGCATCGAAGGTAGTGAAGAATCGGAATGTGGCAAGAGATGCCGAGTCAGGTGGATTTGTCCTCTGGCAGATGAATCCAGACATGTGGTATGTTGAGCTTGCTGTGGGGGGGAGCAAGGTTCGCGCAGGCTGCAATGGTAAGCTTGTCTGGAGGCACACCCCTTGGCTTGGTGCCCGTACTGCAAAAGGCCCGGTTAGACCTTTACGCCGTGCCCTTCAGGTGAAACAGAGTTCCTCTTCTTGTGCTTGCTTGGGCTCTTGAATTTTAGTAATTCGATCATTTCTTGATGTGGGCTATGTCCTTTTACAGGGTCTTGACCCCAGAACCACCGCTAGTATGTTTGCCGATGCAAGATGTATTGGAGAGAAAAAGATCAATGGCGAGGATTGCTTTATCCTAAAGCTCTGTGCTGACCCTCTAACCTTGAAGGCAAGAAGTGAGGGCCCAGCGGAGATCATAAGGCATGTTTTGTTTGGTTACTTTAGCCAGAAGACAGGTCTTCTTGTTCACATGGAGGATTCTCATCTTACCCGCATCCAATCCAATGGTGGCGATGCAGTCTATTGGGAAACCACAATCAATTCGTTCCTTGACGATTACAGGCCTGTTGAAGGGATCATGATTGCTCATTCTGGGCATTCTGTGGTCACCCTTTTTAGATTTGGAGAGATGGCAATGAGCCATACCAAAACAAGGATGGAAGAAGCTTGGACAATTGAAGAGGTCGCGTTCAATGTTCCGGGCTTGTCTGTAGACTGTTTCATCCCTCCAGCTGACTTGAGAGCTGATTCGATCAGCGAAGCCTGTGAACTACCTCATGATGAAAGGGGAAAGAGCACAATTGCCATTGCAACCCATCGGGCCAAGGTTGCAGCTCTGGAGAAGCCGCATGACAGCAACACTGACAGCATGGTTTGGAAGATGGAAGTCTAACAATTGGTAGAAAAAAAAAATTAGGGCAATTGTTTATACAGTACGTAGGTGTTAATTGACTGACACATCAGAAATGAAAATGTAGGAGTTAGATTCATTGAGGAATTTTATAATATAAGTCAGGGTATGCCTCTTATCAATCTGTAAATAGAGCATAATCATTCTCAGGTTCTACCTTGCCTGGATGAATCTTTATACTCTCAATGCAGAATCCAACTATGGAGTTGGAGCTCGGTTTTCCCAGTAATGGATTAGTGGATGATGGAGCAGTGGAGGTTTGTTTTTATTTTACCTTCCATGCATGGAGGAAGGTGGTGAAGCTTTGGTACAGCAGAACCATTTACCTTATTTGATCCTACTCAATTCTTTTGCTTAAATGTATACAGCAGTAGCATCGACATGAAGAATGCTGCTGCTACATGGATTGAAGCTATTGTCTTTAGTTCTCTAATTCTAATGTGTTTTTATTTGTGTTAATTTTGGTGTGGTTTTCTGGTTGATGTAAAAAGAAAGTTGTGTCTATGAGATATTAAATGCTTATGGATGTAGAGAAAGAGTAGAGCATCTTGCCCTCATCTGTTTCATTTTTATATTTGTGAATTGTACATTTACATCTCCTTGAATGGTGAATATACAATCCAGGACCTGTCTGCTCTATAATCTGTTGAATTCTTGCTAAAATAGAGTCTTACAGTTTATATATTTAGCCTACTTATGAATGTATCATGTTATACATATTACTTATGAAGGTATCGAGTTATACATATATAAGTTGAAAGTGCGTTGCCATTCACTCTCATTTTTGACAAGAGTCGAACCTCTAACCTGTAGTGAAAGTTGATTTGGTCCTCTTTGAATTGTATAGTGCACTCTATTTTGAATGCTGATTTTTTTTTTTCCCTCTATGTATTGTACCCTCTTCTCCATGGAAGCTCTCTTTTTCATTGTGCTTGACAGCATTTGTTGGAAAGTCAAGTAGCAGAGTGCTTTTGGGGCCCTCAGTTCTTGCAACTCTGTTGAATATTATACTATATCTTTTTATATACCATTCTTTGACCATTTGACCCAAGCCAAACTCCCAAGTCTGCATTAAACAATATCAATAAAGCTATGTACTCCGGAAAATTATTCAAAGATTTAAGTGATTTGTCTGATTTGTATGTTGAGATCTATACTTAGAATGAGTTTGAAGGTTTATTTTTATTTTTTAAGTAAGTGGATTTGCATTGTTTGAGGCATAACTTGTGTGGGGGGAATATCATTGCATCACAGGCACGAGGTAAAAGCTTCCCAGCAACCCCCATGTGATTTCCCTATCTTTCTTTTTTCTTTGATGATCTTTCTATCAGGTGTCTTTGTTCTCTCCTTCGTTTTTCCTGCTTTTCCAGACCCTGTCTTCCTCTTCTTTATCCCCCACACTACCTGCAATTCATTATGAATATTGCAAACACCAGCACACGATCTTCTGTTCTTAAATTGTAGTTTTTTGTTCTAATGCATTTTGATTATTGGATTGACTTTACATGATTTTGAGATTGTCTCTTGAGTGTTCCTAGCATTTGCCAATAAAAAGAAAAAATTACACCCACTTTAGTTCTCTCATTTGATGGAAGTATGAGAGGAGTAGATTGGACATGGACTTAATTTTTGACAATAAATATAAAAAAAATTAAAAATATAAAAATCGATTAACAAAATTAAACTTAGGGGTTGTTTGGAGTGTCCTAAATAAGTGTACTTTTTGTCTTTTTGGACTAAAAAATTGAGGTTGAAAATATGGATGTTTTGGTTAACTTTTTGACTTTTTATTGAAAAATGTGTAATAAAAAATTGTAAAAATTGATTTTTAGGGAAAAATTTGAATTGGGAATTATGCAGCCGTAATTGTTGACTTTTGGTGAATAGTGTTAACTTTTTAACTTTTTGAGTAACTTTTTGGTTTTTTGACTTTTTTGCAAGTACCCAAACTTGGCCTTATTTTCTCACATGAAGTGGACTCTGTACCCATATAAGACCACTATGTCTAATTTCGTAATTAACTTTTGTGTAACGGCTCTGATTCGTAACTCGAATTCAGAGGCTCGAATTTGGCCCGAATTCGGAGAAGAGGAAGAAGAAAAGAAAAAGAAGGAAGAAGAAGAAGAAGAGAAGAAGGAGAAGAAGAACTGGACTGGAGGGGGTCATCAAAATTGGAGGTGGAGGCGGCGGCGGGCGGAGGCGGGGCTGAGCGACGAGCTGCGACGCCGACGAGCTGTGTCCGACGAGCTCTGTTTCTCTCTCGCCTCTGCTCTGCTCTCTCTCGCTTGTGTTCAACGAAGAAGAAGAAGAAGAAGAAGAAATAAAGAAAAGGAAGAGAAAGAAAACGAAAAAAAAGAAGGAAAAAAAAAAAAAAGAATGGCAAAACGACAGCACACGATCTTCTGTTCTTAAATTGTAGTTTTTTGTTCTAATGCATTTTGATTATTGGATTGACTTTACATGATTTTGAGATTGTCTCTTGAGTGTTCCTAGCATTTGCCAATAAAAAGAAAAAATTACACCCACTTTAGTTCTCTCATTTGATGGAAGTATGAGAGGAGTAGATTGGACATGGACTTAATTTTTGACAATAAATATAGAAAAAATTAAAAATATAAAAATCGATTAACAAAATTAAACTTATTTTCTCACATGAAGTGGACTCTGCACCCATATAAGACACCTGTGTCTAATTTCGTAATTAACTTTTGTGTAAATAGAAGAAGTAAAAGGGGTTGGTTGGGTTTGAAGCTTCACCCACCATGATGATGTCCCTGAATGGTCAAATTCCCCCATTGATGAGGGAGGCTAACATTATTAGCTTCTCTTTTTGAGGTAGGTAATTCATGGTGTGTGCATATTAATTGAGTCTAGGGTTTGTTGTCGTTGTTGTATTTGATGGAGGGGATTGTGGTATGGGAGAATCTCATGAGATAAAATGTTAAAAATAATCTTTAAAGTTGTTATTAGTGTTGAAAAATATATATTAAAAAAAAAATGTATTGGGAGGTGTAAAAGTATTTTGAAATATGTAAAAAAATATATTAAAATTATAAATATTTTGATATTTTATAATTTTTCAAGACAACCTGTAAGATTGTTATTAGCACCATTCTATACGTAATAATATATGGAACAAATATGGTAACTGACCTAAAAAGAAAATATGGAAACTGACCTACTCAACAAAATCCCTAGAATCCTTCATGCTAGCCCATCTTCATCATTTCCAGTAGTAATAGTACACCTCCAACTAATTTTTGCAGTTGGGTCCTTTGTAGTACAAAGAGTTATCAATGCAAACAAAATTGTGAACAAGAACAACAGAGGATATTCACACACAAGACAGGGATTTGAGTGAGAACTCACTCCACTAGGTAGGTTTGAGACAAAATGAATGAGAATTAACCCTTTTCTATAATTGTACATTGTATTTGGCTTCTCTTTGTATATCTTGTTTCTCAATCTATTTGTCTCTCTATACGCGAGATGAGATCATAACTAAAAGAGAGTTTTAAGAGTAATGATTAAAACAAAAAAATGTATATGAAAAATATATATAAAATGATATGATAGACTTGCGAATCTATTACTTTAATATAAAAATCCATCAATAGTCAAGATCTTATCAATTCTAATGCATTGTGAAGTTTCTTAAAATTTTAAGCACTAATGATTTGGTATTAAGATTATATTTAATAATTATGAATTTCATCAAACAATCTCAATGTTTCTAATAAGCAAATATAAAACTAACAAAACAAAAACCTAAGACAAAATATAAAATAAAGTAAAAAAAAAGTAAAGAAATTAAGCACCTAAATTTAAAAATGTAACTTACTTCAATCAACAAATCAATGAAATTTTTTCTATAAAACTACGTGATTAAGTGACAGTGTGGTGTGGCATTCAAATTTTTTTGTATTTTTTTTTTTTAAATTAATGGCACCACATACGGTAATATTCTCAATTCTTTTATCTTAAAACATTTATAATTATCAAATTATGTGCTATGACTTTCATACTCTTAAATTTTTAATAATTATAAGTATTTTAGAAGAATTCCAAAAAAATAAAATTAAAACAAAAAAAAAAAATCTTTAATTGTTGTCACAATATTTTTTCTTTCTGCATCAGATAGGAACATTTAACAACCATATGACAAAAGGGTTGCTAAGACCCAATCACTTGGCCATTCTATGAATTGGCACCTCTCCATCATCATAGCTCTCAAGCACATTAAAAATGAAAATCTATATAACCTCAAATTTGTATGCCTATATTCAATGATTAATCGATCAACTCTATGATAATTGAATGGTATATGCTCAAAGATAGTCAGTATAATTTACACAAATATAAATATTGAGAAACAAGACCAAAAATAAGTTGAAGGTTGATCCCAACTAAAAGGGAAGCTCATAATTACTCTAAGTATTGATGTTATGTGTATATAGTAAATAAACAATGAATATAGGGAATATGATCTAGTATATATGCTTATGAATAGTTTAATACTAACCCCATCTTGCTTCTCCTTTCCTAGGATGAAATTGAGACAGTATTACTGTTAGCCTAGATTCTAATGTTGACTTTGGGAACTATAATTTCAACTCTCATAGCTTACCTATTATTTATCCTCCTTAGGTTGTGTTTGATTTATGAATTTGATTAAGAATTTAGAAAGAAAAAAGAAAAAAATAATTTATTCACATTTCATTCAAATTTTTCTTTATTTCTTTTCAAATCATTACCCAAATTCATGAACCAAATACAATATTAAGAAATTAACACGCATTAAACATACAATTGTTTAGTTGAGTTGGTTAAAATCACATGACTTCTACTTCTAGCTTCATGTGCTAGGATTGTATTTTTGGTGGTCAATGATCACTACTCTATTTTTTATTTGAACTAATCATAATTTGTCAAATTAGTAAAAATAAAATTAAAAAAAATCTCACTATATTAGCATTCACTTTCTATGAATTTGATTGATTTAATTAATCATAATTAATCAAGACAAAAATAAAAATTAATTGCATGACACTGCAAGAAAATAAAAATAGATTAAGTGAAATTTATTTATTTATTTGAGAATAAAAAAAATTAAAAAAATTCAATAACAGAGATTCCAAGTCTAAAGAATTATCCATTTGGGGAATGACCTATTAGATTTGGGAATCAACCTTACTTCATTGACTTTTTGATCCCTCATTTCTTTATTTTATTCTCATAGTAAGTGTTCTTAATTTGCTTGACATGTTGAGCATTTCAAAGTGCATCTAAGATTTCAAAAGAAAGATTATTGGAACTTTATTATTATTATTTTTTTGATTAAAAGTTTATTGGAACTGAACATGTAAATAAGTATATATTATTTATGTACACTTACACAAATGCGCACAATAATACAAAGTGTCGGCAAAGGAAGGTTCCCCTTTGTGGTTGTGCTATTAATAGTTTGCATATTTATGAGTGTGACCGAGGCCACCCACTAGATACTACACTACTCGAGCAATTTAAGATGGTCTATTTTCAAGTCTAAAAAATCAATAGAGATACGTGCACAGCATTGATGTATAAATATGTATTTCAAGATAATATTGTATATGGTTAATATTTAAATTTTGTGTG